ACAAGTGTATCAACCCATAGTGAGGATTCCATAGCTATATATAGGGGAGGAGTCTTTCATTAAAGGGGGGCTTTTGGGCTGATTTGGCTAAGAACATTGATTGTAATACTTTTCTAAATATAAGATTGGCATTTTTAACATTCGATCACTCACTTTCACAAGATCAAGAAATATTACCCATTGTGTTCATCTTGTATACCTTTTGTTCTAGAGTTTATTATACTTAGCTAAGATTTATCCCTTCATTATCTTTAATTGATTTATTCAAAAAGGTTCCAATATCTTTTGAGTCAAACAAGATTGAGATGAGTTTTTGCCTCATGCAGTTCGGGGCAGGAAGAGAAGCATGCATCTTTTTAGTAGAGAATGGAGGAGGGAATAACAACTTATGATTTCTGTTCAGGGGCGGATCCGGTGCAAATACGGGTTCACGTGAATCAGTGGAGAATCTAGAATTTTAAAGCAATGGGTGCTTTATTGTCCTTAAGTTAAGTTGACGCATAGTATAAGTGTATCACTATTTGAAACTTAAAATGAGACAATTCAATGCAAAAATATAGGGAAAATAACACTGTATAAATAATAGGCGAATTTATATATATATATATATATATATATATATATATATATATATATATATATATATATACACACACACATTTTTGTATGTTATATACAAAAAGTATATAAAAAACACTTACCCCTCACACCAGTTTCGATCCCCAAAACAAGCAAAACAAAGGCCTACAATTGAATCTCTAAACCAAAGCACCTAGTTCAGCTTTTATTTCGTGGGCATCTCTCTTATATTTGATTTTTCCATTAATTTATCATAAAATACGCAGACCCTAACCCAAAGACACTAGGTGCTTAAGCACCCACACCACTAAACGTGGATCCGCCGCTGACGATCAATGCTAGTCAACATTCCTATTGTTAGGGAGAGATTATATACTCATATCCTACCAAAATCAGTATTTTACTATTAACTTTATGAGGCAATTAATAAAAATATATATAAATATAAAAAGAGAAAGAAAAACAGAAGAACTGGTAGCGTTTTCCCCTTTGTCAGTTGCAGAGAATTTGCTGGATTTCAATTAAATAGTTACTAAACATATAATATATGAATATAAAAGTAAAAGAAATAGATTAAACAATTAGTAAAATATACATTCATTTAAGCAAACAAATAAAAATAAATTTCGCTGCTTTTTTGCTTTGTCAATGGTAGAACAAATGGTAATTCCTTCTTATACATACATCATTGCTAGATTTTAGTTCTTTATTTTTTTTCTTCAATGCTGTCATTAATAGAGTTTAACTCAAAACAGAGAATTAGTTAAAAACAAGTAAAGGAGGTTGTCCAACTTGAGAAAAGGTAAGAAAACACACAAAAATTTAATTTTGCCGTTGTACATTCTAATATACTGGTATATACAAAATTATATACGCTTATACATATTTATACAATATATATACACTTATATTTATAATGTCTAAACAATGTACTTATGTTGTATAATTGTGTATAAACAACAATTATATACGTTTACAGACAAAATACCTTTTACCTACCATTACTCCTCAATTTTAACACTAAAGAGTTAGTAATCCACCAAATACGTTTACAGACAAAATACCTTTTACCTACCATTACTCCTCAATTTTAATACTAAAGAATAACGTATTTAACACCAAATACGTTATTCTTCTTCTTCTTCTCTCTTAAGCCTCTTCTGAAATTTAACTTTAATCTAGCTCAAATCTGCTTCAAATCACTCCAAATTTATTTTTAACTCCTCTTTCGTGTTTCAAATCGATTGGAACAACAACCAATGATGTTTTCAAGCAAACCCAATAACACCCATTTCAAAATTAATCTCAAATCTTAGATCTGAGTTTGGTTTCAAACTCAAAATCTCATATATGGTTCAAACTTAAAGCTTTACCTTCAATGGAGTTTTTTTTAATCAATCAAATTTTAGATTTGAGAAACTTGAGATCCAATAATGGAGGTTTTATGATTTTATACGCTGAAAGGAAGAGAATACTAAACCTAGTAGCAAGGATGAGGCAAATTTGTAACTGTACAACTTCAAATCTTGTTCAAAGATCCAGCTTCGCACTTGGAGTTGAAATGTGATTATATGATAGGGCAGAATACTCAAAAAAAGAGAGATATCAAGAAGCTTATGTGGGCTATGGACTATAGAGGAGCTGAGTCTTTAATGTTGGGCTAAATGATGAAAAGATTTTTTCAGATTATATACAACCTGGGCCAAACAGGGTAAGAGCTTCAAACCTGGGCCATTTCAGTTAGGTTGTTGGATCAAGTGACAACGGACGGTAATTTTTCCTTAAATGTTGTCCCCATATTTTACTTTATTATAAAATAGACTTTTCCTTCACGAAGAACAATATAGTTATTCAATATTGAAAGCTTAAAATTTTTGTTTGAGGGTGAAAACTGAAAATTAATGATTGATTACTGTTAATAGTCGTTTGAATGCTAATAAATTATGCTTAAACTCGTAGTTCAAACAAAGATTTAGTGATTTACTTTAAAAATTAAATTTTATTGCTGGTCCTTAGAAAGTGTTGAAAAAGCAAAGTGATTTTTTTATTTGACAAAATTGGCGATCGAAGATCAAATGTATTAATATTTGAAAGTTTTGTTCCAAACTTGAGATCATTTGAAGCAGATTTGATGTGATTTTAACGAATTGGAATTGCGATTTCGAAGAATACATTGTTGAAATATACAACAAAATTATGTCAATCAGAATTAACCCAAATAGCCGTCCACCCAATCGCTTAAACTAAAAATAGCCGGTGGAGGTATAATATATGTATAGTTTATGTATTATATGTGTATAATTATGTATAATCAATGTATAAACTATATATATGACTAAAAAAGTAAACAATAAATATGAACGGCTATTTGTGTAAAGATCCCTAAACTTAAATGAACAATATAACGAATAAGTCAATTTCAGATAACACAACGCCATGCCAATTTGGTAAATAATTGAACAAACAAAAAGTCATGCCAACTGGTTTATGAAGAATCTAATAATTAGGTTGAATGCTGATAATACAAAGTCGTGCCAATATGGTAGATTTTGGTGAACAATCAACAATAATAAAATCATGCAAATCAAGTAGAGTTTGTGAACAACTAATAATATCGGTAGAGTAAATATAGTATAAATATACCAATCCAATACACAAATCCCTAACAAGCAATAAATGTGTGAGACCAAAGATTATTTTTTTAAATCTATATCTATATTATTATAAAAGCATCAATAAAATGTTGGATTACAAAAATAACCTTCTAATATTAAGCATAATAACTCATAATAAAAGGACATAATCGAAATTCTAGACATTAGCCTTGTAATCATATTGCTTATAAGATATACTTCTTAAAAAATTCCTATTACTAATTTAATTTAAAAAAACGTGTTATATTGTCCAAATCTATTTAAAAACAGGAGAGCCCATATATGATTATAAAAGCACGAATATAATATCGATAAATCAAAATAGCTCTAAAATATTAAACAGAAGAACTCATAAGGAAATGACATAGCTGTAATAATTTATTTTTTGGACTACAATAACTTCTCTGTTAATTTTTTTAATATATAAGATTTTAAAATTAATAGAATCTTGTCTATTGAACTCTATTAAAAATATGTACGAATGTTTAATAAAATCAATTTCATAATGAGGTCGTACAACCCACTTTAGATATGATATACTTCTTCAAATAACTGAAATAACCATCATAAATATATCAAATCAGAGCAACAGTGCTAAATTTATAAGGAAAGCAAAAGTGATAATATGGGATGAATTGCTTTTGGCTAAGTGTCATACGATCAAAACAATCGCCTAGAGTTTTAGAGATATGTTGGATATCGATGAACCGTTTGGTGGAAAAGTAATAGTTTGGGAGGTGATTTCTGTCAAGTACGATTAGTAGTTCCAAAATTGACCAAAGCATAAACTGTAAAAGCTGCTTGACAAAATTATACTTATGACCTCAAATGAAAAATATTCAAATGACAAGAAATATAAAGTAAGAACAGATCTAACATTCAGTGATTTCTTGCTTCGTGTCGGAAACAAATAAGAGCAAACAGTAAAAGATGATTTGGTTCTTCTAGGACACTTGATTATCAACCCCAATGGTAATAGTAGTGCATTTAATAAGGAAAATATATATTTTCATCATTAGATTAAAACGCAATTTGTGCAAATTAAATGGTGGAAATTAAAGAGCTATCTTGGCTAGCAAAAACGAATATATTGATCAACTAAATAAAATGTTGATTGCTAAGTTTTATAATAAAAATAAAATATTTTCCAGTTTTGACTCAACTGAAGACGATACCAACAATAACTACTAAGAATAATACTTAAATACTTTCATACCAAATGGCTTTCTACCGTACATGTTTGTTGTCAAGTTTATTATTTTTTACCTATGTTAGTATCACCATATATATATATATATATATATATATATACACACTGAGTTAAAATTGATCTTGTATTGCATATAGGTTAATTTTGAAGAAAAATATGTATGTCATGCTACTGAAAACTTAGATCTGCTGAATAGCTTATGTAATAGTACACATATGGTATATAGAAGTTTTGACAATAACGTCATACATGCAGAACTTATGATACTGGTCAATATGTTTCTAATTATGTGATTATCCCCGAATTCAACTTTTATATTCCGAAACTAAAGAATATCCTTTTAAGTTTGTGTGAAAATAATTTTCAGTATGTTTATATTTTGTACTTATAATAAATAAAGCACAAGGACAAACATCTTAAATATTGAACTTTATTTACCACAATATATTTTCTTACGAATAACTATATGTTGCATGTTCAAGAGAGATATCAATACCGAAAACAAGAGTTCTGGTTATAGCAGAGTAACCAAAGCATTAGAAGGAAACATATACAAAAAAATATTGTTTATATAGAAGTATTCGATAAGATACCATCACATTAGATACCTTTAAACTGCGATATATAGCTATCTACATTATATGACTAAAATTGATCATTTATGTAAGTTATTATGATATCCTTTAATTTTGAATTCACGTATTATGCTAAGTACACTAGAACTCCAGCATAATATGATGGAGTTCCAGCATAAGTACACTAGAACTCCAGCATAATATACTGGAGTTCCAGCAAAGTATACCGGTCCAGTGTAATATGCTGGAAGTTCATACACAAGTGCTCGAATCTCCAGTATATTATGATGGAACTTTCCGTGTGTTGGAGTTCCAGCATAATATGCTGGAAGTTCATACACAGGTGCACCGAACTCCAGTATATTATGCTGGACCGGTCTCTATTGCAGCAAAATAGTGGCTATTTTTTATTGACTTGGTAAATGCTGGCTATTTTTGAATGACCAGTCCGAAAACTGGCTAGACCGTGCTATTTTTACTATATAAAGGCTAAACCCTAACAGGGCCATTCCCGTCAGTCACCCTAATGAGTTTGGGCTAAAGCCATCATCAACACGATCCAAATGAAAGAAATTTCCCGTGGTGGGCCCAGAAAAATAGCATATAAAATCCGAGAGCGGCCTTTAAAACTCGTTGGAGATTTAGGGTTTCGCTCACTTCAGTAGTCTCAGCTTGGCAGCTCCTCAGCCCCACCCTCAATCCTACCAGTTGCAGCGGCAAGGCAACTTCGCTCTATCATCATGGGGTAATCTATTCCTCTTCTCTTATTCATCGTGTCTCTTTGCTTGTTTCTTCACTTTATTTGTAAACCATTCATCTTGTTATGTTATAATGCTTTTAATGTATTGGAGATGCTAATAGAATCCATTTCAGTCTATTGAAATGCATATGAAAAGTTATGGGTATTGAAACAAAACATAGTGAGATCAATTTTGGCTATATTGGTACTAAGGAACTACACTGGAAATAATAAAAACAAGCACGTGGAAAAATGACTAGGTAATGTAACTTTGTAAATTTAGCTGGTTCTGCTTTGTTGAGGAAAGTTAGATATATGGGGACAAATTTTCAACTTGTTTGGCAGTTTTGTGTGGATGCGTATTTCTGCAGTCCATCTTGGCAAAGCAGTTGGGCCCTATTGAAGGCAATGAATTGTTTTGAATGCTAATGGACTTAGATCAAATGTCACTCTAAACTGTTCTTGGCTCCTCAATTTTCATGGGGTTATAGATCAGTAGAGATGAAACATCTACCTAAACCAAAAAGAGTAAAGGTAGGACTCAGGAGGTGTTTGGAATCAGTAGTTAGGATCTAGAGCAGCTGTCTACATATGTTTTCTGACTCAATGCTGTTTTTGGAAAGCCTCATTTAAGAAACTTTCTTTTTGTTTAAGGTGATACTTGTGAAACAGTATTTCTATTGTGCTGGAAAGACTAGTGGATTCAAGACTATCACGATGTTTGTTTTGGCATGTTGATTGATGAGTTTCTATTTTAAGGATGTGTAAGAGTGTTTCTTTAGTCCATCTTGGCTAAGCAGATGAGCCCTTTACAGGGCAGTGAATTGCTTTGAATGCTAATGGACTTACTACAACTGTCTCTCTAAACTGTTCCGGGCTCCTGTAGCTCCATGGAGTTGCAGATCAGTGGAGATGAAACATCTATCCTATTACTTTTCACTTTCTAGACACCCTTTTGAGGGAAGGTGAAACAGATAAATAAGCTACTAAATACTAGTCGTATCCTTTATAGCTGTAACAGTATCAGTATTGATCTACTATGGAATCTTTGTAATGGCTGAGCTGAAGCTTGGATTAGTCGAAACATTGTGGTTGATTTCTGATGATGCTTGCATTTCTAGCTTGAATGGAGTTGGGTTTGCAAAGCCATTTTAGTTTTTGAGGTGGAATTGTCTAGTAGAATCCATTTTAACCCATGCATTAGTTCCGTCTTTGCACATGGCTACTCATTTTGAAATATCTTTTTAAACGTCCTGTTGTGATTGATGTCATTCAATGTTTCCAAAGTTATTTTGGGTTACATGTATTGTTGATTTTGTTTTCTAAGTGGTCATAAGTGTCGCGTAAGTAGTTTGCAAAATCTCTCTTGTATATTACTCTTTCTAGAGTACCATGCTCTCTTGTTTTGAGTTGTTCAAATGCTGGGTGCTGAGTGGTTTAACTATTTAATCCCTTGTGATCTGCTGGTCAACTTTTCTCTTTTGCTCTGTATATAAACATGCTTTCTCTCTATTGGTTGGCCAAATATTGGAAATTTCCTTTTTTTGGTAATTTAGAAGCTTGTGTTGTAATCACTCTAATACAGGAAGACACGTGGAATGGGAGCTGGTCGTAAACTGAAGTCCCACCGTAGGAGGCAGCGGTGGGCTGATAAATCTTATAAGAAATCTCATCTTGGCAATGAATGGAAGAAGCCATTTGCAGGGTCATCTCATGCAAAGGGGATTGTCCTAGAGAAAATGTATGCATAAGTTTGATAACCTTCTTTTAATAATCTATCCATGTGCTTGCTCTGATAGACCTAACTTTCACTGAATGGACTGCAGTGGCATTGAAGCTAAACAGCCTAACTCTGCCATTAGAAAGTGTGCTCGAGTTCAGCTGATTAAGAATGGGAAGAAGATAGCTGCTTTTGTACCCAACGATGGTTGTTTGAACTACATTGAAGAGAATGTACGTGTTTTGATCATGTCATTATGCGTCCATCGTTGCAATTGTCATTTTTTCCTTGTAATTTCCTTGTGTTTTTCTCAAATGTTGAATAATCCCATCTTATTGTTCATAGGATGAGGTGTTGATTGCTGGATTTGGTCGAAAGGGACATGCTGTGGGAGATATTCCTGGTGTTAGGTTCAAGGTTGTGAAGGTGTCTGGTGTCTCGCTTTTGGCTCTCTTCAAAGAGAAGAAGGAGAAGCCAAGATCTTAAGTACTTCAAGGTCAAGTGCAAGTATCTTCTGAATGAATTTTTGTTAGGATCAGCTCTTTTTTTTTTTTTTCATTTTCCCCAATCTTTTACTATAGTTTGTCATGTGGTTCTACAAATACCTGCCATTTGTTTCACCTTCTGTTAATGAATGATGAATGATATTCTGATGGAATTTTGAGCTGTTGGAGGTTGAATGTGTGCTGTTATTAGTTTTCCTTCCCAGTATAACCAACGTACTCTTTTGATTTTTTTTTTGTGCAAATGCATTCTTAAAATCCTTGAATTTTCATTGCTTGTTGGATCAGCGCGTGACGATATGCTACATATCTTGAAACTCATTCAATCCATAAACAGTGTAATTCCATCTCCATTGAGACCACATTGAACTGATCATTTTCCAACAGAAGAATATAAAAATAAATATTCAATCGAATTGTCTTTTTCTTTCGTCCGTGGAAAGATACTCATCCACTTGAAAATTTGACTGAAAGTTTCTAATTTGAATTGTTAATATTGCAGTTCATTTCTTCTATATAGACCACAATATTAAATTTACCCTTGAAGCTTAGGGTATCCAAGGAAACTATCATCCTTATGTCTAACTGATCTGAAGGCGAAGATTAAATTGCCAGTTAATAGCGTGACACGTAAAAGTGCAGTTTTAGTATCACCTAAGTATTGTAATCTGCACTTCTATATTCTGGTGAAATACTACTCTACTCTCAAACGCACTAATGGTATATTTATTTATGAAAAAAGAAAAAACTGTACCAATTTCTAATTTTATAAGAAATAAACAACGTGGCATTCCTTTTGGGAAAAGATTTAAAATAATTTCTAAAAAAAGATTTTTCTTGGAGAAGTTATTTGTGAAAGAAATATTAACCGTGTAGCAGCTATTGTGATCTAGAGTTTAAGACAATTCTCCATCCTAAGTAAAAAAGCTCTAACCCAACAAGTTCTTTTTTTTAAAAAGAAAGTTCTCTCAGAAGAATTCTCCCCGGTCCAAACACTCTATTAAGAAATGGGTTAAAATTGGAACTAATTAAAGTTAATTAGTGGTTGTGGAGAAAAAGAAAAACTTCAGACCGGCTCTAGTGAGGAAGAGGAAGGATAAAAGCGTGTTTACACCAACCTAATAAACACATGACACGTGTCTTTAAATTTAATTGTTATTATTAAACATTAGTTCATAACTTAATCATGATAATTTAGTATAGTTTTTACAAGAGAGAAGCTACATCTACTTAGGATATTTCTAGAGATTTATAATAAAACTTTTTCAAATTGTGATTTCATAAAGAAAGAAGTTATCGAATAGATGAGTAAACGTTAACAAAAAATTCCAAGAATAATCGGGTAGTTACTCCAAGAATAATGGAGTAGTTTAATTGCGAATCGAATTTTAACTATAACTACACTCTATTCATTTAGACCTTTCTTACCTGTCCAAAATTGCAATATTCTTGCATGATGATGTACGTATACATAGCAAAAATGTAGTAAATCCAAAGTTTGGTTCAATTTCTGAACGAAGAGTAGTCAACTGTAGACTTCCAAAACACAACCATAACCAGCGACAGATCAAGAACAGGAGTAGGTTCAACAAATTCACTAATATTGCTTTCAGCTTCGATCCATAAGTACATATGTCAAAACCAAAATTTATACGTTAGATTAAACTCATTCTGAACTCGCTATTATAAGTCCTAGATTTGCTCGGACCATAACAGTGCCAGAAGCATATGTAAGGACACTACTCAATGGAGTATGTCTTCTCATTTGGTACATGGGATAAGAATGATAATTCCGGGATAAAATGTAAGATTAACTTTATCCCATGTTTAGGTTGGTGTATTAACTAATCTCGGGATAACTTTTACACAAATGGTGGGACTAGTTATCCCACATAGAAGGTGGGATAATGATAAATGATGAAAAGTGCATATTTTTGAGTATATTTGCATATTAATTCTTGTGTGTGTCGCGGGAGATTACATGATTTTCGAAGTGAAATATACTCATTATGTGTTTCTTATGTGTAGGAACGAGTTCGGATGATAAATGATCAGAAGATGACAATTCGACACAAAAAGAAGAAATTAAAGGAGTGGGAGCTCGTCTATTCCCGTGCGTGGCACGAAGTCGGACGCGAAAAAGGAGAAAAGTTAAGGCACAAAACAACGAAGCGAAGCAAAGGCACGGAGCGCTTCGCGAAATGGAAGAATTTCAAAAGCTGCATCTGCGTCAAAGTCCGCGTCTAGACGCGAAGGCAGACGCGGATTCCAGCTCTCCCATCCGAAGTTGGATTGAAGAATTCCGCCCCTCATCAACCCTAGGTCATATAAATACATCCTAAAACACCATTTTGGAGGAGAAGACACTATTTTAGGGTTAGACAACACCCTTGGAGGCAAGAACACGCTAGGAGCAAGGCGGGGAATTCTTCTACGAGTTTTTCCTTCCTCTTCCTATTTTTCATTGTTGGTTATGACTTTTAGTATTGTAGTTTTACATGCTATTATGAATAGCTAATTTGTTATCTAGGGTTTTGATGGAACCTTTTGTAGGATAAATTCTTGTTATTTTTATATAATTGAGCCGTAGTATTTTCTCTATTTGTTCAACTACGTGTTTGTTGTAGTTAATTGACAGGATCCTCAATTAGCTGTGCCTATTTAGTGTGCATAACTCGGGAGAGAGTGCATATTTAGGTAGTTGTTGAACAAAATCACTCCCAAAGTATAAGAGGGATCTATAACTGCGGGTTTAAAGGCGGGATTAGGGATAACGAAGCCTTGGGTGCAATCTAAAGTGAGCTGTAATAAACAAAGCCAACTAGCGTAACTCAGGAGAGTACGTCTAGTAAATTGTGGTAATTACTCGGGAGAGAGTTACGACAGTCAGAGCGCTCATGATCGGTAGAGAATACTTAGGCGAATTTATAGAAAACGTAGCGGGAAGGATTCTGACAATTGGGAAAATCATAACTCTAGACCTCCTTAATCTCGACTCCAACCCTTATCCTTGTTAATTGATAGTTTTACGGCTTTCTAGATTTGTTAGTTAATTAGATAAAAATAAATATTATAATCTTTATAATTAGAAAATTATTTGGACTTGTGTTTCTTAGCGATATTGAACAACTATAGCTAAGCCTTAGTTCTCTGTGGGATTCGACTCCGGACTTGTAAACCGAATTATATTTGCAACGACCGCTTAGTCCTTTTTATAAGGCATAGTTGGGCGTGATCAGATAACTAATCCCTTGAAATATCCGACCCCATAGGATATCCCACCATTATACCAAATGATCCCTTATATCTCAATCTCTACCAAGCTGACCATGTTTCAAGGGGTAGAGAGAAAGACATGTTATCTCTTAGTGAAATAAAACGTGCACAAATTTGATGACACAATATCTTTGAGTAGTGACATAAGCTTCAAAATAGTGCCCAAGAATAGATAGTAAACTAATAGTCCTATCAAACATGATCACATAAATTGAGATAGAGGATATATTAATTCTCAACCAGATTTAAGAGGTAAGTAAAGGAACTGGCTTAAACATAGCTATCTCAAATACAAAAATCCAAAAAGGGACGGAGAATCTGATTCTTATATTAAATAAACAGATATATGATATCAGTCTTTACGTAAATTTTTATAACTTAATTTTGGTTACTTAATAACACAATCTCACCTCACTTTTATCACTAATTATACTTCCTTTCATTTCATTTTATGTGGCACTATTTCCTTATTAATCTATTTTAAAGAAGAGATTCATTTTTGTTTGAAAATAATTTAAATTTATACCTTTTAATTTGCTTCGTGACATATTTTTATAGCCACAAGAATTTTATGATATTTTTAAGTTTTAAGATCTGTCTTTCTTTTAAAATTCATGTACAGTCCAATTATATCACATAATTAAAATAAAGGGAGTAATAAACTAATCTAATTTATTTTATAAATGTTGGACGTGACAAGTTCTTTTAAGAACACAAATGGGAGGGGTTAGGGTGGGGGGAAATGATAAGCATTTGAAAATCTTGTCAAGCTAACCTAAAGCGAGTTTAACCTTTGTTCCAATTTATATCTCACTTTCTTTTTTTTTTTTCGGTTGTTTAAAAAAGAATGCCTTTTTATTTATTTAATATAATCTTTTAACTCTAATATTTTACATGACATATTTAAGACCATAAGATTCAAAGACATTTTAATACATTACATACATCTTTAGTTTAGGACCACAAGATTCAAAAATCTTTCTGTCTGTAAATGTGGTAAATTTGTAAAATTTTACCCCTCTACCCCATCTTCATTTAACAATAAAAGATGTAAATACAAATATACTTTTTAGTGAGCTAATGTCTGTTTCATTATAAAAACTTATAGTTTAAAGATCCTAAATTTAACACATAATTACATTATCTATTCATATTGTTTCAAGATTGTCAAGTAGTTTTTAGTAGCTTGCCATTTGGCTTAAAATCATTGTTCATTTTAGTAATATGTAAATGCAATGAATCACTTTAAAGAGTTTTCATTCATTTTCTCTCCAGTTTTCTCTTTTTTTCTCAAAAGTGATATCGGAGTAGGTAGAGATCCTGAGTTCGAATCTCACTCTAACACATTTTCAAATTTAAATGAAACGGTATGCTAAACATTCGTTTTTCTCTTCCTCTCACAAATAAATATTTAAATCTCTCATTAGTCTTTAAATTTGAATCCAAATTGATGTTTAATTTTCAAAAATCACTTTCTTATTTTTCAATTCAAAATCAATTTTCTACCAATTAAGATATATCTATATCTATATCTATACTATATTAAAAGTACGAAGGCTCTTAGCGAAATGTCGTTCGCCTTTTTTACCCTTTAAAATTAGATTTCACATTAGACAAAATAGTTATTTAAATTAATTTCCTAATATTTTGAACTTTGAAATCAACTAAATTTTAATTATTATATCTTCCCTTATTGAATTAGATCCTACAATTGGAAAATTTTCATAAAGCACTATCTTTAGTGGTAATTAGCTATCTATAGATACCATTTGCTATATTACGGATTGTAGATACGTTTTCTATTGTTATAAGATGTATTAGATGTATTTAAGCTGTTGTATTCATGAATACAGTAGCAAAAATAGGCGTGAATCAGGGAAGTCCAGCTAATCAGTTGTTGTATTCGAGTGTATTCGACTGTA